GGGACCCCGATTACAATTACACAAAATATGTTTAAACAGTGAAGCAGATGTCCCTTTTGCCAACCAAGAAGGAGAAAACAGAATTCAAWGTGATAGACMAACAAATCAAACTCCCCATAATTCTCAAACAACAGCARAACAAAATCACACCACTATTGGGCTTGTAAGCTCTTGAATTCAAACCAGATGTGACACTCTGAATCCCCAGCAAGAGCTGCATCTTTTCTCATCAGGCTTTTTAAGAGATTCTCATAAGGCAGCACAAACAGCATCTTCAGAACAAAGGGCAGTAACGCTTCCCAGCAGAGTTTAACTGGATCCTGAGGATCACCAGCCCACATGATCTGCTTTTCCATTGTCCTCGCTGGGATTTCACCAGACATAAATCACATGCACTGAAGAGATAAGGAGCTAGGGGCAAAAAAAAMCCCAGAAGAAAACAGAATAATCAAGTGGCAAGACTCCCTTGCAGCCTTTGGTTTACACTTCTCCAGGCCGGAGGCTGTCAGCGATGGGCTCTCTTCTCTGGGGAGGAATCTGCAAAAGCAAATCAATAGGAATTATGGTGACATTGAGAAATACAACTCACTTATGAGTAATTTTCCTCTATTTTGTAACACTTACACACACACATCCAAAGCCAACACTGTACTTCATTACAAGACTGTAACCAAGCCATTACAAGCKGCAGTGAGAGCAAAGAAGCACAAGAGAAATGGAGATCTCTGGCTTCACAAGTGCACGCAGCATTTCACTAACAAGAGAAACATTAGGAATCATGAATCCTCATCTATTGGTTCAAAGAAATAAAACTATCAAATCCTGCAGCTGTTTAAATCACATATCCTGTTCCTCTTCCCATGAGACTTTTCTGCTTGGTACTCAGAAGAACTACAACACCGTCTGTGATCTTTAGCTCAAGTTGACTTTTAAAAGCACTTTAACTTCACATGTTCTGGAGTTAAAATCAAAAGTGTGCTAATGGCYGTTTTGCAGTAGCAGAAATCAAGTGCTACCAGAAAAAAATCCTGAAAATAATCATATTTTCGTTCCCAATAGGGATGGCAAGCTGCTAATTAAATCTGTCTTGACTGCTTAGAAGCACTGATAATTTCTCATGTAATGTATGCACTGAGGACAGGCTAATACCAAAAATGTTAAGGGTCTGGGATTTTTTCCAGGAAAATTAAGATGTCAATTAATTGACTTTTATTCTGTCTGGTTTTTATTGAAGACCTCCACAAATCCATTTTTTTTCAGTTTTTCATTTTTTCCCCCCTCTCCCTACAGATGTCACTATTTTCAGTGGCAAAACCCCACACTTCTCCCTCCTCTTCTTCCAATTAGCTGTAATTATAAMAACATTAGCAGCAAATTAGATACCTCAAGGGCAAAAATCTGGAGAGCAGCAGAGTGTGGAAAGGAAGAGGAGATGATATTATAATGGAAGTAAGCGGGCACATCCATGTGCTCATCTGGGCATCCTCAGGGCTTTGCAGGTTGAGTTCTGTTTTCCCTGAGTGTGCCAAGATGAGGAGGTGACCAGCTGCTCCCACCTCTCCCACCAGCCTCCAGAACTGCCCCTGGGAGAGGGAAGCAAAAGCTTCATTTTGGCTTYTCTCTGTGCCTGGCATAACTGGATCCAACATAAAAACACCCAGCTCAGGCCGGAGAAATCCCTTAAGTTCTATCTGATGTTCTGAAGGGGCAACTGGGGTCCTTAAATGCATGTACTGGGAATCCTTCTGCCAAGGAAACAAATGCAGGAGRACTAATTCTGTTGTGGCATGCAAAAGGGTTCTTGCTCTGAGTGGGTTTTTGAGCAATAAACCTTTTTTCCAGAGAATTTTGCATTAAAAATCTACTTCAGGGAAAATCTCCAAGATCAAGCTCTTTTTTACAACAGTCTTTTCAATTTTGCACAGTTGGATAAGGAAGGAAGTCAACACTGCTTGCCAGATAAAGTGACATAAAATACATTTGCTGAAAATCTTACTGCCTTGCTCCTTGAAAATTTAAAAAAAAAAAAGCCCCCAAATTGACCACAAAAAAAAAAAAMAAAMAWAACCACACAACCAAGAACAAAAAGGTCAGAAACTGATATCAGGAGTGTGACAGAGCATAGAGAGATTTAGGAGCTTAAGTCCTTCCTAAGGCAACACTGCTGGTCTGACAAGGCTAAGCTGGAAGAATTGAAGCACAGTTTAGGACAAGACTTCCTGCACAGCAAAGGACCTGTGGAGGGACCAGTCCAGAGCTGGGGAAGAAGAGTTATTACGTTGGAAATACAATGCCAGTGCAGTGAAAAAACATCTCATCATCTTCTTCCTTAATCTCTTCCTGTCTCCTATCACTTAACATTTCCATTTTGCCTTTCCCTCTTCATTGTGACTTTGAAGGAAACACCTTCACTTTTTTTGGAAGACGAACTGAACTCTGATATGAGTAACATGAGGTTTTAAGCAGTTTTTTGAGGGTTGGGTTTTTTTTTCCTCTCATGTTTCCCACCCTATTTCTCCCATCTTTTCTTGTTTTCTCATTAATTTATTCCCAGATTATTAGAAAGGGCTCAAATCCAAAAGTGCCAGATCCAAATCATGATACTGCCATGACAGTTCAGTGCTGGACACATGAATGAACTTCTACCCACTACCAAAACACATTTCTGGGAACAGCCTGGAGAACAAACTTTAGAAAACAGAATCAAATAGTGTTCATCAAATTTCTGTAGCAAAGTGTTTGTGTTTTTTTAATGCAAAAAATACTTCAGAGATTACCTGATTTCTATAGATGCATGCAAAAAATGTTTCTTAAAATAGGAAGACAAACCGGGTTTCACGCAGGTAGAAGTGAAGCATGGGGACAGCTAAGGAAAATGGTGCCAGTAGGAAAAGTACAGGAGAAGCAAAAAACCTGAGATTACAGCTGGTTACAGAAGGACCTGAAAAACCCAAGTCAAATGCCAAAGAAACTGGATGCAAACACCTTCCTCCCTCACAAGAGAGGGAGGGAAACACCATGTAGGTGCCTCTATACAATACTGCAGAATAAAATAGTGACCCATACCTTTAAAGTCACAATGACATTATGATACTCTCACACCTTTCAGATATGTCTAAACCAGGCTTTTTAATGGAATATTATCAAAAATACCAGTTTCCCAGTTCATTGTATTCAGCTCTAAAGTTACAACAGGTGACCTGTATTTTRTAATTGTTACTTAAGAGAAAAAGCCCAATGTCAAAGGAAAATTGATTAAGGAAAACTTAAGGGTTTTCCCCAGAAACACCAGCCTACTGAAATTGCATTCCTAAAGGAAACTGTTTCATGCCTGAAAGTTGCTGCAGTGCTGATTTGTTTTCTCTAATGAAGACCCAGCTCAGCAGAGATAAGATTTATTGGCCCGTTTCTCATCTACCRAGAAAATGAAGGATGAGGAATGAGAATCAGCAATGCTGCTGCACATACTGCTCATTCAGACCCACCATTGTAATTAGCACTTGTACAAAATAGAGCAAAGAAATGGGAACATCAAGAACTCTTGCTCATCACATATTCTTGGAGTTTCTATCTTAGAAAGCTTTCTCGAAATACTTACATGCAGATTTAATACAGACAATCATATATAATACATAAACCCAGGCTAGAGACTTTTAACTCAGTGTGGAAGTTTGACCTGTGTGTGATCAGTGGATAACAAAATCATCTTTGTTTTATCAGCCGAGATGAAAAGAAGAGCCCAGGATATGTTAAAGCAGACATCCTACACACTGTGATGGGACTGTTAAGAAATCMTCTTTACAGGGACTGAAGCAAAAAAGGAGGGAAATTTCGTTTCCAAATATCCTAATCAATGTCCCATTGAGGAGGTGTTTGGATGTTCTGGGCAAGGAACAGAAATAGAAAGAGCACAGATCTTCTAGAAGTTTCTTTTAGGAAGTCACACAGTCAAGCAGGGTGGAAGAACTCTCTTTCCTCAGAACCCCCAAGTGCACTGCCCCAGACCACAGCTGCAGTTGGTGGCAGGACTTGTTTCATTCCCTGCTATAAACATCCTCCCTGTATCCTGTGGCACAGTAAATCACTTGGAGTTGAAGTGGGAGGAATAGCAAAATTAATCTCCTGTTCTCTTGTGCAGTCACAGCACTGCTTTCTCTGCGACCACATCAGAACCCTCCAAAGAGCTGCCATGGAATTATGGGGAGCTCATCAGCCATTTTGGTGARTACATTCCCACCCTGCCCTCTCTTMTGAGCAAAMGTGGGTAACAAATCATGGAATAGCTCTCCCCATAGCCATCTTGCTCTCCCAGATGTTACAAAACAGCTTCCCTGCAACCCCACATGGTACCCACTCGCACCACAGAGTGGCTGATTCCCACTTGGAAGAGATTCCTGGTGGAATCCATCTTTGCAGTGGGCTGAAAGAAGTACTTAGAACATCCAACAGTGAGTTCAAATCCTCATACAAATATTAAATATTCCYCCTGCTTTCCAAAACAGAGTTTGTAYCAACACTTTGGCAAATATTTAACTYTGGTCATTTACATGGCTCTCTAATCAGCCCTGGCACCCTGAACTACCAGAACAGATCAAGAACAGCAATRGGCATTCCACCTTTAAGGTGAAACWGCATCCTAAARCSTGTAGTTGGTTACCAAGGAGTCCTAAACCTGCCTCATGCTAGTTYTGGCACATCATTAAATTTTGTCTTAGCTGGAACAACAGAAGCTCAAAGGAGAATTCTGAAGGTATCTTTTCTTTAGGACTATTACTAGGTGTTTAATGAGGCAAACATGTGATCCTATAATGTGCAATGGAGACATTTTTGTGAATTGCAAGAAGCTGAAAGCTGTAGACTGTATGACATCAGAACCCTCACCTGTGTTGTACATACACCAGCCCTGACTCTCAGCAGCAAAGCTGTCACATAAGCACTCAACAGACAGGAACGTTTATTCTACATCCCTCAAAGTCCCCCATTTGAAAAAAAAAATCCATTTAATACATGTTCTGTACAGCTGTTGCCTTACCATTTGCCTTGTGCTGCACATCTGGCGGAAGCTGGTCAGGAACATACCACTGATAGTCTGGCTGCACAGAACAACAAGACATTATTGCAGCAATATGGACTGCACAGGCACTTCAAACAAAACAATAGTGACATGATAAAAACATCATTGTRCTATGAGGCTGTTCATTAGCCATACAAAAGAAGTTTACAAAACCATCTTATATTTCAGGTTTGTATTTCCACTGATCCAGTCCTCCAGCTTGTTTCCTTTCCTATGGCCCATGGTTTAGATGCTGCACCCATTAGAGAAATTGGTGTAAAACATTTTTTTAAAGAGTTAAGGAATAAAGGGCAAGAGAAGATACRAGCAGGCATCTCTCTCTACCAAAGAACCCCAGAGAAACAGGTGAAGCTGTTCCAGTTTAAACACATCTGTAACATCTGTAAAATGGTCCAGTGTGAAAAAAATTAATTAAGTTCTCTCTCCTCTTCTCTTTGCTCACAGCTTAGCCCTGGTGTTACTATAATATTAGCTATTATCAAGGAACTAACYGAAAATACCGTGGGATAGAAAAAATTCCCATCTTTCTTTAAGAGKAAATATTGAGARGGTTATGTCTGTGCAGACATAGTTTTATCCAGGGAAATCCTGGAAGAAATAGTTCACTATAGTTTATACCACCCACCGTGGTAAACGAGTAGCAAATTCCCACTGTAGAAAACAACTTTGGACCAGCCATTTCAGCTGAAGTTGTGTTAGACTGTCTGGCTGGAATAAGTAGTCCATGCAAGCTTGTCAAATTCTACTTAACTGCTGCTTCAGATTAGTTACCCTGCAAAGACAATYTCTGTTTTGCAGAAATTACTCTGACAAAATCATTGAGTAGTCCCATGGGGAATCCTGCAGATTTCAATTTGCAGAGAACAAATTTCATAGGCTCTTAAAGAAGTTTTGCCTGAATTAAGATGGCATGATGAAGCTGTAGATACAGAAAACAGATTTAACTTTTATGTTTTGCTGTCATTCGTGCTTGTACAGCAGCAATCACTCTCATACACTGTCAGGAAAAAAAGAAGCTATTGTATTTTAACATCAATCGTACCAGTCACAGGAATTATTAACTAATTCTGCGCTTGTGGGCAAACAAAATAGGCTTTGATACAAAGCAAGGCTGCACTGCTTTAAGCACAGGTAGYTTTTCACCAATGGCTCAAATCACACTCATCTGCGTTGCTTTTTTGAGTTTCTGGTGAATTTTGTGTTCTCTGATCAATTCTTCTCTTTCATACCCCACAAACTTAAATGAACTTTAGGAACAAGAGGTGCATTTCACATTAGATGAGCCAAAACGTTTCTTCTAGCAGCATAAAAAGAAACAAAAATGTTCAAGACAGAAAAAGAAGGAAAAAGCAAAAGCACAGCCTAAACAAGCAGGATTACGTATCAGGACACCCATTAAATTCTAACGCCTTTCTTCATTGCTAACAAATTGCTCAGTGAGGTACCCAAAGCTCAGAGCAGCAACTCACACAGGCACAGAATTAAAAAAAAAAAAAAAAGGGTCAGAATGAAACTGGGAGTTCCAAAGCAACCAGTCAGACTGACCCCGGCGCTCCGGCAGGAACGGCAAAGTTGTAAACCCAGTGATCCCTCACAGAATTAGAAACACAGATGATGAAAGTTCAGGGAGAAAAGCCAAAATAATCTGGGCCAGTGTCCAAATTGCAGGGAAAAACATTCTGCAATACTTCCAACTTTGATAAATAGGCAGATAAGCACACTCCTGAAGCACAGAAATTACTTGCCTGACCGCAGCTTTTCCATTGGATTTCTACACTCCRAAAGCCTTACATGCATTTTGCAAAAATTCAGCTATAATTTCTCAAATAATGAGCATCTCTCCCTATGTGACAGTTTTATAGCCAGAAACAGATATTGTGTGTTTAAAATGACATTCACCATGTTTAAGTGCATTCTCACTAGACTGGAACAAGCCAGCMCACTTAGATAACCCAAAGCACTTAAAAAATATTCTTTGAAGCAGTATTTTCCTTGGAATAGATAACTCCCACTCACAGAACCTGCCCCAGTGCAAAGCTATTCTTCTTCCTGCTGAGGAAGGCAGGACCCTGTTGTGTTCCAGGAAAAAAGGCACATTTCCCATTGTGTTAGACACACTCAGATATGACTTGCACTTCTGCTGATTTGTTTTTATTATTTTATGTTGAAGGCTCAGAGCAGATCCCTACTTCTGAAATGGGGTAATTATACAGCTAGAAAGGGCTCTGAATGCGTGTCATGGAAGCAAATTAATCTAAGAAATCAGCCAGACTCCAATCAAACTACCTTATTTTTTYAATTAACAAACAAATGTATAAGAATCCTGTTTTTCTTCTTAATGGTATTATAGACAAAGAGTATTTGCCAAAGTAAATTTGATCTTGATCTCTACCCAACAACAAACTAGGAAAGCACAGATTCAGTTSCTGCTGAGGATGGCACTGTGATGGCACCTGTGATCACCACGGTGTGACAAAATCAGTGTCCTTGTGACACAGGAGATGGTGGGAACCTTACCAAGCGCTGCTGCTGCTGCTGCTGCTCATGTGCCCTGTGAGGCACTGGATGCACCCGAGGATTTGGATAGCGAAGAACCATCCCACAACTGACACATGGGGACAGGAAGAGGGGAGGGGGGCAACTGGACCTCTCAGGTTGTACTGGGAGCTCTTTTGTCTGTCAAGAAAATAAGAACATGAAGAAGAAATGCATTAGCAGTGGAATACAACCAACAGAACATTCAGGTACAAACGGGCTACAATGGTGCTCATTCAGWTCTCTCAGACTATTTATCATTAAAAAAATCCTTTCAGAGAACTAATTTGTGCCACAGAGTCTTGGTGTATTTTAAATRAGGAAAATATTGTTTCAAGACAGGACAAGCACATTTCTGGGTGTCTTTTATACTCAAACACAATTCTTTATTTTCATTACACACAGTAGCTTTCAATAGTTTGAATCAGAACTACACAGACAGTTAGTTGCATGACAAGGAAAGTAAAAAATTTTGGTTTAAGACCAAAGGTGATGGCCTCAGATTTGGGTCTGCCCAGTATTAGGCTCTCTACATTCCTGTAGAGTCAACGGGAATTTGCCTAAGGACAGAGCAAGGAGGGGTAAAAGATGATTAATATTCTGTGATTCTATGAGTCACAACTAAATAATCTGACCTAAGAAAACAAACTAATAAATATTTTATCTGCTTGCTCTCTTCTTCAAAATCCTCCACAAGCTCTGTTTGACCAAATCCCGAGGCAGGAGGAGACAAACAGGAAGATCTCCAGTATGAACTGTGGGTGCCCTGCAGGGACAGTGAAATACAGGATCACTGCAGACCATAAGAGTGGGGAGCATGGGACAGCACGTGGCCTCTGACACTTTAGCAAGTCCCTACCAGCACTGATGCACAGCTTGGTTGAGAATAAGACAGATTCAGTTTCTGAAGTTTCTGGGTCACAGCAATGGTGGGAAGGACAATTAATCATCACAGAACATTTTGGTAATCAGCCGTTCTTTTAAAGCATTGCACAATTTTGTCAAGACAGGAAACCTCGAAATTTCGTCATTTTTAAATGGGGATTGAGAAAGCTCAGAGTTTTGCATGCCATGATTTTACTATGGCTTCCTACTGACACTACTTTGAAGAGATAAAAAGGATGTTGCAAGCAAAAATTATTGCAGAGGCTGCGCAGCTAATTTGTATGGAGACCATTTTTTTCCTCAGTGATATTAACATCACTCTGTAATTCAGTTGTGGAGGTCAGGATTAACTACAGAAGCTCTTCATTTCAAAAGTTGGTTTGATGTAACAACTCTTATATCAAGTGCCAGTGAAACAATCAAAGTCTTCTGGATTTGTTTTTGGTTGTGTCCCCCCTCCTCCTCCTCCRTTTTCAGATACGTTTGAAAAGTTTTCGCAATAAATACTCCCTTCATCTACTTATTTTGGAAGTCTCCTCTAATCGTTTCTCATCTTCTTACTGCATTACTTCAGAATGATTTCATCCCAGGTGGTGACCTCATATAAAATCCAATGTCAATTAATGGAAGCCAGAAAACCTTGAGTTGTGTGGAAAGTGAGAAAAAAAAAAACCAACCACATGTGCTGGCAATGGGAGCTTTCCTTTGACTCATACCTGCGAGTTGAGTTTACTCAGTTGAGATTGCAATCTCTCATTAATTTTCTGCAATGCTTCTTTCTCCTCATTAAGCCTCTCTCGGTCAGATCTCTCCTTCCTGAAGTCTTCCTCATATATTTGGACCTGCAATCATTATGAACAGTGTGTGAACTCCAGCAAAGCCACTTCATCTACTCTACTGTTGCTTTCTAAACACTGCCCAGCCAGAAGGGCACATTCCAGAGGGATCCCTGCTCTGTGCAATCCTGCACACARAAGTTTCCCTGGTCTTTTTTGATGACCAATACAAAGTGACAAAGCAATGGCCATTCTCCAGTGGCACACATCAGCTGAAACAGCCCCAGTTCCAGCATTTGCGTAGCTTTGTAATTTAAAAGGCTGACTGGCAAATACCAGTTTTAAATATTATAATCAAGATAGCAAATACTAATAATGATCTTTGTAAGTGATTTACAGGAGCAGAACAAACACTTTACCAACATTTTTTTCCAGTTTTCTCTTCAATTATGGGCACTTTAAACTCCCTCCTCTATCTCAGGTGCAAGGAGTTAGCAAAGGACCTCCTCACCCCAGTGTAAAGGCAGATGAGAATGTAATGTACACAATTCCCAATGGAAATACAGATGTTTGACCCTGTTCCTAGAAAATAAGCTGCCTTGCAAATACTGAAGGATGCAGTGGCTTAGTTCTTTTTATGTTGCCAGGAATCACAGAGCTTCATCCCATCAAAAAATATCTGACCACCCCAGACAGAGGCAGCAAGATTCAGGAACAACACCCAAATCCATAAATTATTTGGTGTTCAGCTGASTGGCTTAATTCTTCAGCTAATGGGCAGGCATCCACCTGGTGAGAAGCTGCAGGCTGGTGGCACTTCTACTGACAAATAACAGCAAAGGCATGTTTGGGTGGGAACCACCAGCACAACCTTCAGAACCCCTTTCATGTCCTTTTGGTTGCTCACTAAAGCCTGCTGACARTCTCTTCCCAAAAATCTTGCTTGCTGTGGTTCATGCCCTGCCCATTGGACAGATCCAGTTTTCTTTTTGCTGGAAGCAGYGCTGTGACTTCACAGAAGGACTAGGAAAATGTTAATACCTCAGGGAAGGAAAAGGTCAACACAGGGCTCTATGAATTCTTTTCCTGACCCTCCGAAGCAGAGACAAAGCTGTCACTTGCAGAAATCCCTGTATCCCTTGTCCATCAACACACTTCTCTCCTCAGCATTTCCTCATTTCTTCTCCCCCAATTCCTCCTCTGCTGTCCCACCTCCCTCCCACTCCCCAGCTGTACAATCTGCTGGAGCTGCAAGGGAACCACTTTGGCAGAGTTTTGCTCTGTATTCTGCTGCCCTGAGAAAGAGAAGGACACCTCCTAAGGAATGAATGCCTTCATCTCCTCTGCCGTGACCAGGGATGGGCTGATGACAGCCAAGCTCTGCTGGGACCCTGTCACGTCACTGTTTGTCCCAAGAGTCCCTCCTTCATCCAGTTAGAGCCTTCTGCTCTGTTTTGTGTAGAAGGAAATCTGGACTCACTGTACTGATTTATACAACTAGGAAAACACATTCATAAAATGGATACCCCATGAGAATTTTAGAAAAAAAAATGGTTTACTCTATTTTATTGTGTAGAATGAAATAACTCATAACTGTACAATCAAATGCAGCATTTTGTTCTCCAGCATGTGGCAAGCATTACATTAGAGAGCAAAATCTGGCTCTGCTGTCAAACGTGACAGAAACAAGTATTTTATTCCCACTGAATAAAATTCCCATTCTGATCACATCCATTTGTGTGTCAATAACRTTTACCCTAACACTATCCAGGACAACAGACTTGAAGTGTAAAATTATCTGAAAACTATGATATTTTCAAACAGATTCTTTCATATGGTAAAAAAAAAAAAAAGCACAAAACACTCGAATTGCTCAGAATGAAGATTAAAAAATAAATAAACACATCTCTGTAGTGCTGGGATGCAGATTATGGATGCCAATGGTTTGCCTCACACTTAGAAAAAATGCAGTGCCAGTGCTGTAGTTTTCCAAGACTAGGATCCCTGGATAATTCACTGAACTGTCAGTTTCTAAGACAAAAGGAGCAGAAGACACAATCAGTAACTCCTGAAGTTCAGCATTCCCTCTGGATGAAATTCAGTGAGCTGGCAGGACACCTCCAAGAGTCAGGAGAGCCATTCTGCTGCTTTGAGTCCTCCACATGACCTTGCTCCAGTCCTTTGGCAGGACTCAGTTTCACTTTGTGGACCGTGCAGTGATGACAGCATTTGGGGAAACATCATTCCAATGGGCTGTGGCTAAAYTGGCCCTTCCTTCCAAAAGCTCTACACAGCAAGTCAACCAGGCACARTTSCTGRGAGAGAAGGCAAAATTGTKCTGTGTGAAATCCATCCAGGCTTASTKGAGMTCTTCCTACCTGCTGTTTAAGAACTTCAAGTTGGGTTCTCATCTCCTCAATGCTGTTCCTGTCCCCCTTTCCTGGAGGAGCCCCAACAACAGGGGGGTGCTGCTTTTTCATCACATCCAGGAGGGCCTGCAATGTCAAATGACAAAATTACTGAGATTCACTACATGAAATAGAAAAAATACCCTTTTAAATAACTAGGAAGAGGTTTTCCCTTCACTTGTAGTTGCTTCAGTTCTATACACTGGATACAAACCCACTGTACTACAGTAATGTTTCTGACTGAAATATTTTTTTGCACTAAAAGTAGAAATTTCTTCATGTGGCACAAAGGAAACSCTCCCGTTTGAGAGGAAGTTGTGTAGTCTCGGTAAATTGTCACTAGAGGGAGTTACGAATACACACAACACTGGTAYCACTCTTCCTCTGTTTCGAAGTGAAATTCTGCCACATCTCTTGGCAGATTTTGCCATCTTTTTAACGGTATTACACAGCTGTCCCTTGGATTGGAATAATCTTTAAATCACTCTTACATCTGTCTATAGCCACACATTATATTTATGTATTATTTTCTTTACTCTAGCATAAATACCATTCAGTGTGTTTCAAATTCTCTCACTTATGATATGAATCTCCAACTTCACCCCTCATAAAAGCTGAATTCATGCTGATGATCCTCAGCTCTCCCTTACTGCACACACATCCCACACATGTGGGAAGGAGAGAAGATAATTTGGAGGGGGAAGAGACAAAGGGGGAAGAAGTGGCCAAGCAGGATAATCASTGCCCAAACTAATCCAAGGATTAGCATTAATTATCAAAGGGTCAATAAAAACCAAGGAAAGCACAGAAAAGGAAGGCTTTTTATCTGATGAGCTGCTGTACCTAAGAATTGTGCAGAAGTAAAACTCTTACAATAGTGGCAATGTTTGTTTTCCATGCCAGTACATAAATAAGGCTGAACTTATACTGGCAGGATGAAGATACAGATACTCTGATTACTCCTTCTTTTGCCCCTTTGAGCTCCCTTTTAATACCTTTTTTGAAGAGGTTCTACAACTCAGAATTCAGAAGCAGGAAAAAAAAACCCAGAAAATTAAATCTTCAAAAAGTTATTGATAAGGTAAAGATTCTTTTTGAACTGCATTTGGAMACTTCGAAATACTGTGAGACCCTGGTTTATCATTTCACACAAAAAGAAGAAAAATGTGTTTGATTTCAGACAATTTGTAATAATTCAAGTGGCTGAACCTGCAAGCTAGGGGACTAGACCTGAAARGGCACAGAGGGTCCCTTGAAGTCTTATGGGCACTCATGACGTGAGATTTGAAGGATGCAAATGCAGAGAAAAATCAGTAAACACTTTTGGAAAAGTGTATTATATGAAATTGCTGCTTCATTTAAAAGAATGGTCTATATAACCATCTGTCTTGTTATAGCCACATCATAAGACAGCAAAGTAAAACGTTGAAAGAAGTTGTTTAACAAACAAGGCCTTAAATTAAAGTTAGACTGAGGCTTTGAGCAAGTTGTGTCAATGCATTTCAGAAAGRGCTAGAGATCATGGGTTCTGTCAGATTTTTTCTGATGGCAATTTTAGGGTTTTTGGTTTGACTTTTGCATGTCATGGTCCTTCAGCTTATTAAAGCACTTATTAAAGTTACACAGCAATGCTAGTGCAGTGCATTTCCTCAGGAAGTGTTTGTGGTTCACCATGAAATACAAAATTGTTCGAAAACACCCACTGCTTTATGTGATCTTTTGATTAAACAAAATTACATTTATTACTTGCCCTCAGATAAAAAAAAAATCCCATTTATCTATTTAATGACAATTTTSTCAGTGGAACACTTATACACATAATGTTATATGTATGAATACATGTGTATGGATATGAACAGCAGGACAGGACCATGTCGTGTGAAGAGAAGCCATCACTCTCAAACATAGAATATATGTAAAACAATGGTTATTAAACGGTGTGACCTTTCTTTTCAACCACARTGTTTCACTAAGTGCACATAGAAGCATCTTTGTGCCATTTATTCCCCTCTTACTCTGAGGAAGGACATGGAAAGGGTTTAGATTATGATACGTGGAGAGGTTTGACAGGAGCATCTAAAAAATCTCTGAATTTTTCTCTTTACAATGCAGCCCTACTACCTGCCAAGAGCAGCATGCACAGGTATGAGCTGAAGTGAGYTCTTGCTTGTTTCCCCAGCTCCCAAATGGTGATGATGAGTTTGCTACCAGGCTGTTCAACCAGGACTGAAAATATGGGATCTGGTAGTGTCACTCCTTGACAAGAGAGATCTCAGAATTAAAGGAACAGCTCCTGGTCAGCAGCTCACTCCTGCTCCTACCTTGTTGAGACGACTTATTTCACYCTCATAGTGCTCTTTCTTTCTGGTCATTGAGGCGTTTTTCTGCTTCAGGAGCCTGTTCTCTTCCCTCATTTCATGGAGAGCTTCACTAAGGACCTCTGTATCTTTCTGGGATGCAAAAACACAGAGAGATGCTGCTGAAATGCAGATGGAAACATTTTTCAAGAACACTTTTCAGAATCCTCTTCTGTCTGACAGATGTGCTGCATTTTTGTTGTCCCAAACACAGCTGGGAAGGGAGGCAACAGGAAGGSAGATCATTAGGAAACCCAGATATGATAAAGTCTGCTGAAATTGTTTTGACCACTCACCATATGATGTGACAGAGACAACATACCAGACTAAACCCCTGCTCTCCGCAGTTGCACGAAGGCGTGAGAAGGCTGGCAGGCCAAGCAGATCAAAAKCCCATAGACAATCACTCCAGCCCTGCATTTCTCTTATGTACTCAGAGAATAAGGCCAGGGCTGAATGCTGGGGGAGTCCCAGCCATTTCCAGGGCCACACAACATTAAAGACAAAAGCAGATCGTGTCACATAGTCTTAGGACATTATCCACTACACAAGAGACTAAGACAGCTCTTGGCCTGCTCCAGAATCACCAAGGACTTAATCAAGGCTTAAAAATCCTCTTCTTTTTTTTACTCTATCACAGTTGTTATTGACTTTACCTTGATCATTCCTAGTGCATATGCATACAGTTCCTCCACAGCAAACTACCAGGAGGATGTCCCTACTGCAACAGGATTTACACCTTAATCTTCTTTCCAGGATGGCATTGTAAGAATTACTCGGGCAGATTTGCTTAGCTGTAAATTTGACTCTCTTATTCTATTGCTTTCAGTGTGGCTATTTTCAATTTACAGWGAAGGGAGGTGGGATTCACATCAGACCCTGAAGCAAATGGCATTCYGTAAACTTCCTTCACAGGATAAAACATTCCTTACTATGCCATTTTTGCCAGACTGGTCTTGGAACAAAGCTGTTTAGACATATGAAACAGAACAAAACCAGAAAAAATAAAAAGAAAGTATTTCAAATATTCATCTGCAGCTGCTTTAAGTGAATAAAAAAGTGAGATCCAACAACCACAGGCACAGGACACCATATGAATGAGTATTTTTCTGTGTAAGAGGCACATTTCTGTGCAGCCAGTCACAATTTGGGYTCATTAGAAGCTCATCACTGTGTACTAACTGCGCCAGTAAAAACCACCCTCATTAACTGTTGCTTACACATGAGGCAGCTTTATTCTTCTTTGTTCTAAGTTAGCTGGAACATTTTATTTTCTCCAAAAAACGGGCGAGATTAGCAGGGTATTACTGCAATAAGTATAGGAACTCATCTAGRASCTAGCTCAAGCTGACAAGCCCTTAMTGRCTGAGTGTGTAATTTTTAAAGAAATTGCTGATTTAAGACTAAAGTTCCATGCTGGTTAACTTGTCCCCATAAAAATTTTTTTGATTATATTGTCATTTAGTTCATTATTCATACATGCAGTAAAAAAGTTTAGGAGAGTGTACCACTCATCTTTATCTTCACAAAAAGCTGTCTAGGGCTATTCTTCCCAGGTATCATTTATTGAAAGGCAGGCAGTGATATGAACAGGAAAATGGACTGTCTCACACTGAATCCACACTCAGAGCAAATCTGAGCAGTGATTCAGCAAGTACATAACAAGATAGCTTGATTTAAAACATGTGAATTGTGCTATGGGTTGGAAATYAGGTATTAAGACTAATGGATAAGTAAGTCAGATGAATGTTCTGCTTATGCAGATACAAACTAAGGGGGTTGCATTTCTTTTCCTGCAGCACCTAACTCACATCTTATCTGAGCCTGGAAGCAATGCAATTGCCACTTGTGTCAGGTTACCACATGAAAAGAGAAGCCAAGCTTCATTCATCACATATCATCACCATCCAGAAACTCTCACAAAAGGTCATGCAGTACACGATACCCTGAAGCAGAATGAGAACAGGAAGCGCTTGTAAAACACAGCACAAAGTTTTGTGTGTGTGCCCATCGTTCAGGCTGGTGGCTTTACTGAGGTGGGAAGTCAGCTCAGGGATCTAAATTAGATGCAAAAGCCTGCCCCAAGTGCCCMAGTAGACTTGAGAGAGCAGCACAAGCACTCTGAGGGTGAGGTGAACACCACTCTGTAGCAGCTGATCAGCCCGGACACTTCCAGCCCTGAAAASTGCACTGACTGTTGCTAATATTTGCAGGGAGCTGAGAGAGCACATCTCTAAGAGCCTGTATTATCAGTACCAAAATCAGAGTGACCAGAGCTGCATTCATTCCTTTAAATATTTCTTGCCAAGTACTTTGTGTAACAAATGCAGTGGTGCTCCTCTTCCCTTTGAAATAACTGCAGCATTTTGGCTCACAAAGCAGCTCACCCTGAGCTGAACTGTGAGGAGGGAAATCTGTGCAGCRTAGATAGCAGCCTGCTCTTTACTCCCACACACACACTAATGCTGTGCTGTCTGCCAGTTCCTATTGAAATGACTCTCTGTACACAGTTCTGTGATGAGGCAGAGCAGCATCGCTGCCTTGGGTGCAGTACTGAGGGGTGCCCCACACCGCAGCCTCATCTCTGGGCTGTGTGACAGCCCACGCTCTGCTTCACACAAGGGCAGAAAGATGAAAACTGAGGGAGTGTTCACTCCAGCACAAAAGGGGTGACAGAGTGCAYCCTCCTACCTTTTCCTGCAGCAGCCTCTCTCTGCCCAGTGCTCGCCACCTCTGCTCCTCGGGATGCTGCCGATGTTGCTCCTGCTCCAGCTCGCTCACTCTCCTCTCTGACACATCCAGCTTTGCCTTCATCTCTGTCAGCTGAAAATCAAATAGACCATGCTGGGCTGACTGGGGATTCTGAAAGACACAGCATCTCCAAGGTGTCTAGCCAGAGGCATAAAACAATTCCAGATTAAAGGAGGAAGAGCCATTTGGATTCCTAATATCCTTGGCGGAAAAAGAAAATGAGTGATCCAGATCTCAGTAAAGCTTTCTGGAAAATATTAGAGTGAAAATTTTCCTGATAAGCACATCAAGTCATTCTATAAGCTTCCTTTTCATAGCAGGAAATAGTAGATGAGAAGTGTCAGTCAATGAACCAATTTGAGTTTTGGAATACCAGGCAAAATTGTAAGCATGGCAGGCAGCTAATGATTATGTCCACAGCAATGACACTTACAGCCATAAGCATGGAACAAATGTTATATCAATTGGATCTTGAGGGAAAAACAAAAAGGAAAWAAAAAAAATTATTCACAATTCATTTTGAAAGTCTCTGCTTACAGAGAGCAACTTTAATGGAGAATTTACCAGGGAGCTCCCAGGCTTCACAAGCCAGCCACAAGAGATGGGACAAGAACCAACAGATATGTGATGATGTGGATCAGGGGCTGGGCACACCAGGCTGATTTTCAGTTAACTGTGCTATCAATTACGTGCAATTTTTCCTACTCTATAGAGAGCATGAAGATATTTGCTGTCATGTCCACACTGGTTCCTGCTATTTTAGGGACACCTGGCTTCTCTGCTTAGTTTGTCCTACTGAAGACACACACATGGGCTTCACTGTTATGTGATTAAGCCTTTTTAATTTATGAGCTAAAGATAAATTAGCTATGTCTGGCTGGTATTTAAACACAGTCTTAACTGTTAGCAGCTGGCACACATATTCCAATAGAAGTCATCAACATTGTTACCTGCTTTTCATAAAGCTGTTTCATACTTCTAAATTGATGATCCCATTGCTTGTTCACCTCCAGAAGCTGTAATTACCAGGAAGGCAGAGTAAATGACCCCTATTTCAACATTTTCAGTAAATCAAAAACAGACTGGCATTCTAATCCTTTGTCAATGAGTGTTCCCAATCTCCWCCTCATTTGGCCAGTTCATTTCAGAAGAAGCAAGTTTAAAGTTTGGCAAGCTTSACAGCCCATCTGCCAGTGCTTGGGTATTTCAGTTACAGCACATGAACGTTCAGGAAGCAACACTCAGGAAATATGCAAATACACAATARCTACAGGTGGATCATCTGCAATCCTGCACAAATCCCAAGCTGCAGCTCCTCAAAGGCCAAGGACTTCCCTGCTAGTTTGCTACAAATTCCACGAACATATTTCCAATTAGAAGGTCTTTGACTTCCAACAAATTAATAGAAAACTCCTACTGACTGGAGTATAACTGGATGCAAACCTTGCTTGTTATTCCTTGAGCTTTACAATAGTGATCATTTTAAAAATTTGCCCTTTGTACTAAATAAACTTCTGCCCTTCCACAGTCATAGGCATGGTATCATCAGTCATGATGTGGTTAAGGGTATACTTGAGATTACCTCTCGTCTCTGTCTTTCCAGTGAGAGGATCTGTTGCTCCAGGGAACTGGATGATGAAGGTTTCTTTTTGGTCAGTAATGTGTGCCTTGACTGGAGAAAGGGAATGTTCAATAATTAATGTTTCTGGCCTGCTCTCTTCAATATTGTCATGCAAAGCTCCCATCCACCCTGATAGGTGCACATAAAGAAATTGAAACCTTTTCTTACACTGAATTTGTATCTGAGTACCTTCACACCTGCTACACTTCAGCTGATTCTGATGCGTACATCTGCTTTTACCCTGCTCAGGCTATGTTTTAATTGAAGCATTATGCAAATAGCCACTGAAATAACCAAAATTATATCTATTTGTACCATCTGAGACAGAGAACACAAAATAGGATTTTAATTATCTCTACAGATGGTGATACAAACAAGTGGTACAAGCCACAAAAGTTGAGCGTGACTTGAAGTGGATATAAGTAATTCCCTTCATTTACAAGAACCAGAATAATTAGTAGGATTGCCCCTGCTAAGTGCCTGCAGACCCAAGGTAATAAACTTTAGCACAAAGGGCTCAAAACAATTCAGAAAAAACAAATAGGCTGTTTGGAGAAATCAGAAAATCAGTCTGCAATGGTTCGATTTTTTGAAAGCGTGGAGTTTCACCCATGCAGGACAGCAGCAGCTAGAACCTCATTTTCACAATGGCAGTGTTKTATATCATAATTTCCAAGAAGTTTCTTACGAATTGTCATGAATAGAAACATGTGATCTATTAGAGAGAGAGAACTGTACTGGAAAAAAAAGAGATTCTCTCATAAAAATAGAACATACTATCTTCAGATACTTGCTCAGGGATTTTTGTTTCCCTCCCTAARTTGTCAACCAATATATGAAGAACGAGAATAATAGTCTGAGCACTTCTGAAATCTTTAATAAATTTTCTTTAGATAGAGAATTTAATGCTGAATGCCAATGAAGATCAAAGAACAGTTWTGCTGTGTCTTTTCAAAAGCAAAAATTCCAACCACATATTTRCCCCATGGCCAGTTCTGCTGAACTCTGATGTGGAGCCCTTGACTTCCAAGCCAGAAAACACTCAATCCTTCTTCTTGTAGTTCACAGACATGTTTAATTTAGAGCATCTGAAGCAATACCTGGCAGCTAATGGAGCTATTCACATRTTGAATTGCTTTCAGCATCTGGGCCTTAGGCATGTATTGAAGTGCATATTTAAGAGTATTAAATATTATGTCCCATAAATGTGAACAGCACAACTCACAAATCTAACTACCATATATGCACTTGGCACCAACTGGCCCAAATACTGCTCACACAAGTTTTTGGGTCACTACAACGAACTTCATATCCCTTTTTTTTTAACTTTTGGGTGGTAAAAAAAAAAAAACCAACAAACCCAACATTAGGAAAGGGTATCTTTCTAAGAACACCATCTGCAAAGATACYTCTAACATTTCCTTTCACTCTTACACAGTTTAAATAAGTAAGAAAAAAGCTATCAGAACACAAAGATAAGCCCACAACTGGGGCTAGAATGTGACCCACAGCAGTCCCTGTTAACCAGAAAACACTTCAGAGAACAAAACAGTCACTYACTTCCAGTGGTTCTGCTGGTGCTTCCATGTCACTCTCACCTGCCCACGTGCGCCCAAGACGGCCTTGAGWGTTTCCTTCACTGGGAGTCTTTGGAAGAAGAAGAGCAGTGAAACAGATTTTATGTTGACTGAAGGAGCAGGAGAACTGCTTTAAGGCCCAGAAGATMCACGAGTGCTGCCTGTGGAAGCAGCCAAGGTCCAGAAAGAGGTGGTGGAATTCTGATTTTAACCTTTTCCTCCTTCCTGGCTGGGGCTTCCCAGAAAGGATGAAGCACAGTGCCTATGACTAATGTGCCAGGCAAGGCAGCTCTATGTGCATGGAAATCACAAYTGACTGGCCAGTTCACCCCAGAGAGGAAGTTGCATGTGGAAGGGAAGGAAGGCTATTTGCCTTTTCAGTAAATAAGAGGACAGGCTTTTCTGTCCGTGCTTCCAGTTATAAAAAAGGACTTATGTAAATGCAATTATTTAGTGACACTAAGAGTGAACTATCAGAACAGAAAAATGAGTGAGTCATGCTTATAAAGGAACAATAACAAAGTCTGTTAACAGCTACGAGGCAGAGCACCTCCATACAAAAACCCCAAGATGTTTAGGGGAAAACCATAATTGGAAAATTGATTTGTTTCCCCAAAGAAAAGCTGCACAAAGACAAATAATGACATGTGTTATATTTGCAYTTCTGCAACTTGCCTTACCTAAACATGGACCTAGCTTCAAGCTTTGATTACTCAAGACTTGASTTATTAAAAGTGCCCAACACTCCAAACTTGAGCCTCAGGTTCCYATTTGGAGAAAGAGGTTGACCTTACCAAGTTAAACTCACAGGAAARATTAACCAAGAAAAGGCTTCCACAGACTTCATATACAAATAGAAATAGAGGAAATAGCAGAGTGTAGTGTTCTCACCTTCAGGTCTGGAATTCTGAATAAAAATGGTTTCAGAAGTAAGCATGAAGGAAAAATCACGCACCTTACTGTGAAATGATCTCTGGGTCTATGGTTTTTTGTAGTGGCAGCAGAAGTTCCTTATTTCACTTTCAAGGAACAAAATGAAAGCTAGCCCGTGAAATTTGACATAAAATAATAGGAATCCTTTCAATTTCCAAAAAGGGATTTAGACAAAGTAAAGCAACCCTGTGAAATGCTGGAATTTCACAGCCACATTCCAGATCTCTGGTTCACAATGTGTGACTAAGCAACTCCTCTTCTGCAAGACACAAAYCCCAATTTGGAAGAAAGCTACTATTTTACAGTATTTACATATTGAATACATCCTGCTACTCTGATGCTCTTTTTTTTTTTTTTTCCTGGTTTACGGAGCAGCTGGAAAACTTGTGGGGTATAAAGARAGAGGTTAGAAAACAAAGGTCATTTTAATGAAGACAATTTCAGATTCCCCACTGGAGTCATCCAACACATCAAAAATTGGAAGAATTTCATCATAGAATATTGAAACTAGTCTTTGAGCATATCAGATGCAGCATTGAAGACTATAAATTCATGCCAATAGAATCTAAAGCACCAACACAGAGTGTGTGATTAATAAAAATACCATCACAAACCTTCCACATTGCACATCTGCTCTTGAGGGGGATTTCTCTCAAGCCCAGACAATGTCCCTGCCCCAGCTCCCACTCATCAGTCTCAACCCTGTTCCAGCAGCACCTAAGCTCTGGGARAAATCTCAGGTGGAACAGCTGCATTTTATGGTCTGGCCTGCAAAGGTAAAGCAGCCCCAGCTTCTGATTTCCTCACAAGAACACACTGGGATGTGGTGAGGGAGGTGCCGAGGGGTCCCCAAAGTGGGGACAGAAGGACAAACCCAGGGCACAGCCCTACTCATGAATCACAGCTCCCACTTGAAAAATATCAATGCTCAAATTGCTTTGAAGAGAGGATGAGGCTGAGACCTTGGTGGCTACTGTAAATGAGGTCACAGCAGTTTCCTGGAGAGCTGAGCAGTTTCCTGGAAAGCTATGTGGACATCAGGACACCAAGTCCTTTGGTGATAATTTCTTCATGACTACTGAAAGTGAAGGATTTTATATAAAATATGACAGAATAGAAGTAAGACTAAAGTACAGTTCAGTGTCTGTCTCATGAAGCTTAGCATTCATATGCATAACTACCATGTAAGAACAGACTGGAGAGAAGTGTGTTTCTGAAATTTGTATGAATAGCAGAAATGCCAGTCAACATGGAACAAAAACGCAAGCTCTTCAGAGGTGGTGGTTTTCTTGCAGCAAAAATTGGGAGAGATTGAAGCAAAATCACTGCTTCAATCTTTGTGGAAACAGTTAATAACAGTGAAAAGAAAGACAAGGAGATAATATTCATTTTTGTTGACATGGCAGAAAAAAAGACACTACATTTGTTTATGGCTACAATCAAGAATAACTCAGTTGTGCAACAGTACATCAGAAACCTGAGATATACTCAGAAAACCTGAGAAATTCTTAAAAGAACGTCTCTTTGAGAACTATCAGGCTTCAGAAATCAAAAAAATGCAAAATATTTTAAGGCATTTATACTTGATCTGAAGCTTTTGAACCCAATACACACTTTTAAACTGCACGGAAAATTGCAGTTGACAACCAGATTGCAAACACAATCACAAACCTAAAAATCTGCCAGGTAGGGAAAAAGCTTGCCAGGATGCAAATGGGAGGATTTGGGAATCTCCCTAAGTTAATTCCCAACTGGCAGCATACAACARCTTCAAAGACCTTGATTAATTTCTATTTTATTTCTATGATATTCTGTCATTTCTAGCAGCAGCAGCAGCTCTGGGATTTTCTTTATGTCCTGTTTAAAAATAAGGAAAGTTTTAGTTTGTATTCTAGAAAGACCTGAGCTTCCTGAGCATAAAAGCCTTTTAGGCATCTTTAGGAAGCTTGCAGCGGGAGAAAAATCCAAGTTTTGGAGCTGTGGCCAGCCCTGAATCCTCTCACAAGCTTTGGCACCACAAGAAGATAAAAGTTCTCATTTTCAGAGTGCTGGATCTTAATTCTGGGAACAACTTGCATCACAGTATTACAAAATAACATTCATAAATTCAAATAATGAAAACCATTTCTCACTTCTGAAAATTCTGTCTGTTCAGTAACTTCAGTGAAACAAAGAACCACTAAAAGGCTTGATGCAGGCAAATGTGATGATACCAAAATGGCACAAAATGACAAAATCATCTTTTTTCTGTTCTTTTCCTAGCTGACCATGCATTTGCTGTGAGGTTTGTTGAGTTTGGTTGTTTTTTTTTGTTTTTTTTTAAATGTAGTGTTCAGTTGTAGACTTGTAGAAGGTAGATTAACTCTGAAATTACCTGGGTTAAAATTTGGTGGCTTTTGGGGAGCCTTCAGTTTGTTTAGGCTTTATTGCTGAAGCTGTTGTCAGGACAGCAGTGCTTGCCACAATATCCATTGCAGCCCCTTTTCCCATTCCACTGCACATGGTGAGATGGCAAAAATGAGAGGTTTTAGCTGAAGAATAAAGTTGGCTCTTGAAGCAGAAGAAGAATCTGCCTCTTCTTGCCTCAACCTGGCCCCCGTGCCTCACCAGAGAGGTGAGGCTAGAAAGGGATATTCCCTGCCATAAATGTGTCAGCTTCAGCCTTTTGTGCTGCCCAGTTATGTACTCCCTCTGACAGAAAAATAGGTGCAGATGCAAATTTATATCTTAATATGTGGGAACCAGACGAATTAGAGCAAGATGTAGTTTCAGAGTAAGTCAAACAGCACAGGCTCCTGCTTCAGGATTTCCTTTATCCCCACTAACCATAAGGGCATGGCCTTCCAAGTATGTAAGCATTTGCAAACTCAGGCCTGATTATGAAAATCCAAGTTTCCTGTGAAAATAACTGGAGGATAACTTGTAAATCTAAAAGTCTAAAATATGCAAATCTATTCATTTTCCTGGAATGAAGAATGCAGCATCAGGACAAGCAGCAACTGAAGGATTACACATGMAGGAATCATAGGCTGAAGGATGTGCTGCGAATGAGTTCATTTTGCAGAACTGAGTTTTCTCTCTGATATTTGCATTTAAAATCACACTAACATTATAAATTTGTATGGAAAAAAATCCTGGTGAAAAARAATTTGCTTACAGACATTTACAAATTAGTCTTGAAAGGGATTTAAGGTCAGATAGAAATGCCATTCTGCAGAGTACAATTTGTACTCTTCATTCCAGAATAAAGYTACAGAATGAAAATGAGTTGCTGGCTCTAACACGAAACTTCCTGATGAATGACTGACACTATAGGCAAGGATACATTTTTATTTCATTATTAACTTTTTCTTCACTCCTAAATATATAATTTTCCCCTCACTTTAAATCTAAATCAGCACCATTTCATAAACAGATATTCTCTGGTGTGTTTTGTTTCTTTAAGTACTATTTCATGACCTTCACAAAGTCCACTTAGGTGCTAAAAAGACAACCTCCTTTCCCAAAACAAACAATCTAAGATATGTATTGCCATATATATACATATGGCATATACATACAGYCCCTGGCATATACATATAGCCCCTTATAGTCAGGCTGTTGAAGCTCATCACGACTGTCAAGCTGTCACTCACTTGAAGCCCAGCTCAATAACCAGCCAAGTGAGAAGTTGCTTGACTTCAAAGTATCAATAAAAAACAGCCAAAATGTGTCTAGTGCAGAAATATCACGAAGTGTCCCTCTCCAAGCTATGAAAACCACACACAGCTTTCAGGGCAAGAAGGGCTACAAATGCAAAGGGCATAAAAGCACCACAGATCAAACACTGCCACGGTATCCCGTGTGAAGCACCGCAGCACCCCACAGGTCGAGGCAAGCACTTCCTTTCTCTTTCCTCCCCACATCTCCCAAATCCTTTCCTGTGTCTCCTTCTGCTGGAGGGAGGCTAACATGAGGAACYAGGGTTCTCATGGATCATTTGTGGGTTGTAATTTCAGAGCTTGGCTCAGCACTGTCTTCTGTTTCAGCACTCCTATTTCTCCCCCGCACCCGGGAATCCCCATCCCTCCCTGTGGCTCCTCTCTCACCGTTTCTAATCCCACTGGTCTGACCCTGGGCTGTCTCYTTAGGCTGGGCTCAGCTTCATGCCCCGAGGTCATGAGTCATTCTGGAGATGGCGGTTTACATGTGAAAGGAGCTGTGTGTAATTTCGGATTTCATAGAAGAGAGTCATCTCCCTTTTACCTCCTCACCAATTTCCTGCACCGTGCCTCGGGGCACAGCCTTCAGAGTTTTCCTTTTCCCATCCCGTGCTGGAGTCACACGGGTGTGGCTTCACTTACAGGTGGATTGCACTCACCACGGCTTAAACCACTCCTCTCCCTCCTGGTGTTCCCAGTTTGTGGAAAAGAGGGAAATTCCTTCTGTTCTCGCTGTGTCAGGGGAGAGGAGTGAAACTGAGAGGGAAACCTAGAACAACTTTCTGTCAGGCTTGTTAACCACTGCTTCACTGGAGGCAAAGACAACCGCCTTAGCAGGTGGCTTACGATTTTCTGTTTGCAATACCACAGAAGTGTGGGTTTGAATCATCATCCTTCTCCTCTCTTCCTATTAATCTAAAACCTTTCTGACACTTCCACAGCTCTTGTGTSCCACACCTCTGCTCATTCCCAGTTAAATCAGGACTACCAAAAGTAACAAAAATGACAGTGGTTTGGGGGTTACATAGTTCCAAGGGTCTGTGTTCCAACAGGCATATCTGGCTACAAGGTTTGACACTTAGGATAATCAGGTTTAGCTGACCTTTTAAAGCACTATAAAATGTACTTTCTCAGTCACTCTTCCTCAGAACAGAAAAYGGCTWCATCAGGAAAAAAAAAAGTGTAGCAAGTTCATTGCATCATTTCAGAAATTCTAAAGTTTCMTGCATAATCAAGTCTCCCAGAGAACATCCCCTGAACATTCTTTCCTGGCAGATAAACATTGCAAAAGCACATTGTGTTTACCTTAAGGGAACACGAAGTTCTCTGAGGGCTCAGCCTCTCTTGGGCAAGAGGTTTGGGGTCCTTGCACGAATCATAAATGTTGCTCTTCCCTATCAGGTTCCTTATTTCAACATCCAGCTCTTTACTTTCACACCTGCTTAGGAAGAAAAGTCAAGGTTAAACTTTGCACCAAAACTTTGGAATGTGAGAATGCAGATAGCASAGCTGGTCCTGCACCAGGCTCCTGCTCCTTTCCTGGTAACACAAGCGAGAGCAGGGACACAGCCTTTAAGCACTTGGTGGCAGAAAATCATTTAAAACACTTACACAAGCAGTCTTTATGAATTTTACTACAAAATCCAAATTGATCCTTTTGGGGATTATATGAAGACCGCCATGTGCCCTCAACCTCACCCACTCACATGGTGTTACAGGAGTTTTAGATTCAGCTTTAGCAAAAAGGCAATCAAAATTGTTGAACARGTTTAGAACTGCAAAACTCAGTGCTTGGTTCACGAAGTCTTTTGATGGCACATTTTGTTGTCTCTAACATTGTAACAGACACCTGACRTGCATTTTCAAGGGWTTTTTTTKTTTTTKKKYTTWTTTAAAAGTTCCTTTTAAAAACATTTCTATCTTGTAAAAAATTGGTCTGTTGTGAGCATTTAAAATTCTATTTGTTTGGTGGGAAAATTCTTTTCAGTCTCTCTGCTAAGGACATGTAGGACTTAGGTGCACATAAGGACTTGTCCTAAATTCACAGAACTAACTAGCAACTAGGGCTGATTCACTTGATACACCATAATGGTGGAATGTAACTTACAGCTAATTAACTGAGACATAATTAACACAGCCCCCTAAATGTCCAATCGAAGTTATCAAGCAAGATTAATCTCTTTTGCAAGCTCAGACTTTCATTGCCTAATCGATTTTAACAAACTCTAAATATAAGTAATGCGTGTCCAGAAAGCAAACTGCAAGGCTCAAAAATATTCCCAACCTGTTATGGCAAGATTACTTCTTGATTTGGGCAGAAAATATAAAGCCTTCATTTGAACCACCAGAAAAACTGAAAGCAGTAGGAGTTTATCCATTATACTTCTTGAAGTTTAGACAGGCAGTCCTCAGGGATTGCACTGCAAGTTATGAGGAAACTCTTGAAGCAAAATTGATAAAATTACCCAATAAAAAACTCATCTATCTTAATCATAACGGCAAATAAGTGTGGTGAATTTTGTGCTGACAGTACAGAATGATTTATTAAATGCTCCATATTTAAAACACATTGACTGTAACAGAAATGTATTTTCATTATAYATGGACACAAAATCATTTCTGCGAGGAAATAAAATACCAACAGTAGCAAATAAGGACTAGTAAAACTCTAGAGCTTTTTTTCCTGATTTGCTGCATGATAGTTGGACAAGCTGTAGTTTCAAGGCCGTGAGGATTAAAACAAAGACCTTCCCAAGGCACATTTTCATGACCATGGTGGGGCAGGAGGGCCGGTGGTTGTGAGTGGGTGGCAGGTGAGCCCCAGCAGTGGCACCACGTGGCAGCTCAGGGACAAAACGACAGAAAGAAAGCAGCCAACCTCGTGTACGAAATCCAGCCCTTCTCTGCCTCGCTAAATGTTGCAAAACTCAGGATAAGCCAGAGCAAGTGGCACTTTATCTCAGCACTGCTGTGCTGAGGTWCCCAGAGCTCAGACAGCAGCCAAACCAAGCGCTCTGCACTCTCAAGKGCACTTCCCTGGCAAACAGCATCTCCAGCCCATTTGGACTCCAATTCCTGACCCAAACAGATTGTCTCGTGTAACAGAGGAGCACATACACTGTGCAGAGCCCTCGCTGCTTCTCAGGCTGCTCAGAAGAACCAAAAAGCCACAGCACGGAAGCAGCCACTCGCTGCTGCAATTTATCACCCCCAGCTGCCAGCACAACCCACTCACACGGCTTGGGCAAAGCAGCCGGTGCTTCTTCAAGTTTTTTAAGCCAAATAAAGCAGCTTAGCCTGAGGAAAAAATACTCAGAATAAAGGAGCAATGTCGAGGCACAGCAGGGACAGTCAAAGATGAGCAGCAATGTGGCAGGAGCACTGCAGCAAGTGTTTGGGCAGGCTGCACTCAGCTCTGCTGCTGCTTCAGCCACAGCAAGTGGAGATGTGTGACCACAACCTCCTGAGGTCAGCATATGAACCAAGCTGAGAAATACCCTAAAAACATTGGGGCTTGGCTTTTAATATTTCTTTTCAGCCAGGAAGCTTTCATTGCTGCACTCTGCTCCCCACAGTKTGATGTTGTAGCTGTAAATAATGTTCATCTCTGCATGCTCCCACTCTGTCTGTCTGCATTCTCCTTCTGAACTTACCTGGGTAAAAGCAGGACTTGGCTCTGCCTGGGTAAAAGAAAGAGAACCACAAAAGGCTCACATCCSTGCAAACCAATTGCTGCTCTGTGATACCCATGTGTTTCAAGATTKTCATCAAAGTCAGAAATCTATTTCATTTCTAGACTGAGAAACTGTTACTCCATTTATCTGCATYTTGTTATCAGCCACTTCGATAACCAGAAGGATACATTTATAGGGAGGTAAAACATTAATCATATCTGGTGGGTAGATCTGATTTAGAATCTGGACTTTCAGGGTACAAAGATGCTCTGAGTGCTTGAATATATCAAGGGACTCATGATTAGGAGCTGCCCCAAGACCGAGGCAAGCTGATTACCAGAGCTTCCCRCAGAGAGCTCTAGAGGGCACACACCCTTCAGATTCTGCACAGAACGATTTTCAAAACTGCTTTTGGTTTTCTGGAGTTCACAGGTACACCTCTGTACCATTAAAACTTTAAAGAAACATTTTTCTGTGGTCATACAGGAGCATACCACATATATAAAAATATATCCCTTCTATGTGCTAAAGCAGGTAAAGATATAAAAACTACACATAACAAGCTGTGACTACTGTAGAAGACAATAAGAGATTAGAATATTAACTCCTCTTTGTAAAGTATGAGTTAGGTGCAAAATTTCCTTCTTTTTCTGTTTTGTTTTTTTCCTTGATGGAAATGGATTTTGGTCCATTCAATAAAAACGACCAGTTCTCACCCTGAAATGTGCTCTGTGGTTCGTTGTCTTCTAAAAAGCTGGGTGCAGAGGATGAGGAAACATCTGGTCTGCATTGCCAGAGAGGCTTTTGTTCATGGAGTTATTCTAAACCCAGGGGANTCAAGGCATTTTACACAGAAACAGAATAGAGATGTAATGAGGGAAGCTGATCTCCCAGCACAAGCTTTAACAGCTTGTAGGGAAAGAAGAGAGCCCAACCCTCCTCACAATTTCCATGTCATATCTGAAAAGCCATGTCCTCCAAGAATAAGAAATTAGCCCTGTTCCCTTTGCAAGTTGTCACACCCATGCCAAACTTCACTGTGCACCCCAATAAAGGTGTTTTCACTTCTCTCACATATTCAAGTAGCTGCCTTAAAATGGTTTTCCTTTTTGTTCCGTGGTACATCTTTGCACCACTTCAATTTCTAGGCTCAACTGGCCTATCTATTTTTAAGTATTGATATTATTTATAATACTGTAATATGTATAATGCTCTAAATAATGATTATTGTTTATAAACAGTTGCATATTTTTACAGCAATTCCATTTTTAAGCTGAGAGCCAGAGCATGATGAGCCACGTATTTCAGGGCTGAGGAGCATAGACTGAAGGCTGAGAAAGAGAAGTTTCTCAAATAAGCAGGTACATGTCCCATAAGAGTCCCAGTTTTGCATCTTTTGGCTCTCCCTGGTTTTCACTGGTAACTGGTATTATTCCTTACTCATGGCAACAATGGACATACCTACATCATGTCCCAAGGCATTTATTGCACAATATGAACACCAAAGCCATTTAATTCTATTGGAAATATTAATTTCAAGGCTGGTGTGCCAGGGTCATTGCCTTGTGATTGCTGAAAGCACAAATACACACCATAAACAATGGTGAAAAAAGGGTTTAAGCAAGGATTTACAGCCAGACGCCAGCACCATGGAGTCATATTTTGATGGGAAATGAATTCCAGAGTTTAATGGCAAAACACATGCTTCATCCCCTTGGGTGGGCATTTKGGATGTAGGATTCTTGCTTGGCTAAGACTAAGGTACAGATTAATGGAAAGAAAGAAATTTCTGCATTTCAATTATGGAGGATGAACTGGTCAGATAAATTAAAAATGTAGCAAATTTCAGGACAAATTGTTTCAGCTAATATTTCCGCTATTTGTGGTAAAAGAATTCATTTCAGAAAAAGGTCTGCAAAAAAAAGGGAGAGAAACAGATTGAACTATAGAATATTTAATCTCACTTGTACTAGAAATAGACTTCAAATAGGAATAAAATTAGGGATATAATTCTTAAAAATGACATCTTATCTGTAGAGCGAGCCCATTCTCTTAAGTTCCATGTGATTTTACAGGATTTTTTCTCTCTTTTAATTTAGTTTTGTAGAATTTTTATCTTTTTCTTTATGCAGATACATTGGGATTTTTATATTAAAATCTTATCGAGTTAAAATTAAATAGTAACAAAGAATTTCCAGTCCAATAATAGGAAGAATCAATTTTTGCTAAGATGACAAAAAGACTTCGGTTACAGAAAAAATTTTCACAGCCTCCTAAGCCCTTACAAGTTTAGCAGACTCTGAGCTGATAGAGAAGAGTTACAAGGTGGTGCAGCTCCCTGAGGACCAGTGGTGTAATTTCAGTACTCAGCACACCACTCAAATTGAGGCTTGGGAATTTGAGCCAGAACTCTTGAAATTGAGCTCCACTGGTTCCACGTTCCACCTCGCGTGTACCACCATAAAAAATAGTTTATTGGGCATAAAGCATACTGTGCTGGTACAAACACAAAAAGAACACCTGCCTTTGATGATTATGAGTAGATACTTAAAGAGAAAGTTTAGGGGAAAAAGAAAGCAACACATTATTTCAAATTATTTGYAACTTAATTATTTTAACCTAAGTTTCACCCAAAAAAATTCACCCAGCATTTCAAGGGCATAGCTGGAAAACTAGCTAAGCAGCAACTGGCAGAACTGCACTGTCTTCAGAGAGAGATGTGCCACAGGTCAGTGTGGGATTAGGAATAATCTCATCCCAGTCCCGAAAAGAGAGCTCCCTAAGGTGTACCATAGGGGTTAAAACATGCACTGTGAGCATAGAAGAGAAACCACTTAAACTTTCCCTCAAATCTGATGTAGCCAAAACATCTGCCTCTCAYCCCATAAACGTCCCTACACTTCTGTTCCCTTTACGACAAAGGAATGGAGCTTTTAAGGCACATTTAATAGCCAGCAGCTGTTGGGCTGTCAAATGCCACATCTGGAGAAGCTGTGTGCTGTTAATGTGAGCAGAAACAATTATTCTTTAATACTTTTGCCTAATTCTAAGAATTACACAAATGACAACAAAAGAGGTGCGTGTTCTTAATGGAAACACATCTGGTTTCTCTGAAAATAAACCAGAAAAAAAAAAAAAAAGGTCCCAGTGATTAAGTGAAGCTGCACCTATAATCCATCCCAGCCCAGGGAGGAGAAGGAAAGGTACTGATGTGCAGGCATCCAGTGTCTCTCAATGCCTGACTACTCCCCTCAGGAAATTTGCAACATGCAAGAAGACCATGACTAGGTGGTTTGCATTAAATGCCATGTCATTTATCACACAGTGCTGCTCCCCTCTGTGCCTGGATGTTCCTGTCCTTCGGGACTGGGTTTCCATGCTGCTGCCTCACTCCTGCACCCTATACAGCTTGTACATCAYGAAAAGAGCATCATTTCCCTGTCACTTGGATCTTCTGCCTAATTATACTACCAAGACATTGAATGTCTTCCTGATGGACAGAATTTGGGCTGAGTTCAAACCTCAGGAAAGCCAATTAAATTATTTCCACCAAGTCTCTCAGGCTTCAAATGAGCCRTGAGTGAGTTGCAGACAACTGTCTCTCTGGAAAGGGAGCAAACGGGGCACTGTCACCCAGACTCATCCCCCAGGCCTCACACAGCTGCCTGTGGATCACCAGGGGAAAGGGAATTGGATTTTGCCATGAAAATCTATCAGCTGGAAAGCTTGGCCAAGCAGAGCCACGGAGCAGCATGTGCTTTCTGGGTGGATGAATTCCCCCACTGAACGCACACACGCAGAAAACCGTGGGGAGGTGGCAGCAAAGTGTTCAAAGAACTGAAAGCTAAGAGTTAAAAAGACAAGAAAGGAAACAAATGTAGATGTTTGCAAGTGCTTGCTCTTTCTCTGTGAAGATCAACGTCTAGAAAAGCTGGTRCCCCTTTCAGGGCACTTTCCTGGCCTCAGTATGTGCCTTTTTGGAAAGRWGCTCCYCCYACAGYCCTTTCTGGACTGGCTSCTTGCCCTRCAGACACAGCTGGAGCCCCACGAGYCTGTTCCCATCTTACACGTGTTTGCTCCTCTAGAATGCTGTGACTCTGACACAATACAACTGCACAGCTGACATKTTTAACTGATCCTTGACACCACTAGTCTTTCTTTCTGAATCAGGCATCACCACAAACATCCCATTGTGCCTCCTACTTCAGCCCGAGCYAGGATAGGGATGCTTCACCAATGCCTTGCTGACCTGGGCTCACAGCTGGGCTGAACCTTTGGAGAAAAACAAGGCCATGATTCATTTGAATCCCTGTCTCCCACACAGAGCTGAGGTATTTTCAGTGATCTACCAACAGCAACAAGCAGAACAGACAGATGAAAACCATTTGGAAATGCAGCCAGGAAATGTAACACACAGTAGCTGACAGGGGACAACCAGGTGTCTGAAGTCAGGCCAACTCCTTGCCTGTGGCAGCTGCCAGGCAGCCWCAGCTGAAAGGCTGAGAGGACACTCACTGCACTTTACTTAATACATACTCTCAGTATTATCAGCAGAACTAATACTGGCCTGTGAAACAGCAGGTGCCAAAAAAGTTAAAATTTTAAAAAAAGTGTTTCCATGTAACATTAAGACAGTCAGTACCTTTCCATCTCAACACACTGAAGAGGGTAAGGGTCCATGCAGTCCTCTGCATCTTTCTTCTTYATTTTGAGCTCCTCACAGTGAATCTATTAGGAACAAGGATAAGAAAAAGGAGAATTTAAGGGGAAATAAGATGAACAATCTAAGAGCAAGTTAAGTATCCAATTACAATGAGATAACAGTGTCTTGTCTGTATTCCTATTTTATTCTTCATAAACTATAAATGGTTAACAAGCAAGCCAGGAATCTAACTCCTCATTCCGAGCACCACCCTCAAGTCCACCATTGTGTCACGAACAGTTTTACAGAGGCAGGAGCAACAACAACCTCTGGCTGCAGTGACAAAAATCTGCCCAAGGAACAAAGCTGTCAGCAGTCACAGGAACGTTACAAGTGTTGCAAAACGGCCTTTTAGTATTCGTCCTGAAAGAATCAATTATCTTCCTCAGTCTAGAATTCAAGCACTTCCTCACTGTGTGAAAAGTTCATGTGCTTCATGGAAGTGTGGAGTAAAAGTGCTGCTCCAAAATTAAGAGCATTTGAGTTATGACTCTGATCTAAATCACTTGGAAAGAAAAGGAGTCCTGTGTAAGTTATTGAGGACAAGTGTATTGTTCAAGGACTCTACAAGCTCCTAACAAGCTTCTTATGGTCAAACCACTTACTGTCGAGCACTGCATCTCTAAAGAGAAGGGAGAGAAATTAAAAGAACCAAACCACCCTCCCAGAGAAAAGGGAACAGTAAGCAGTCCACATAAAGAAGAGTGTGCCAACACCACCTCATCCACAGGAGTCATTGTGCTCCTGTGCTGCTGATGACAACCCCGGGTTATGCTCCTCAGACACCTCCAGTTTACCRGAAAAGGAGCCCAGAAGCCTTATTCTTCTCTTCAGATAAAACAATATCATTACGATAGTTGCTAGAACTGAAAACTGACAGGTTTCATAAGACCCATCTGAAGGACAGCAAGGTGACCACTGAAATAAAGTGGGGAGCCATGAAGAGCTAAACCTGCTATTTATAAGCAAATAAGTTTTCAATTACAAGTCAAAAGAGTATCAACTTAATGCGAAACCACAGSTGAACACTTTATAGAAACCATGCTGCTTCATCTATGTGCAGGGCAGAAATTTAAAATGAAAGGTTGCCAGCAGAAGATCTGAGGTGTTTGGCATCCCTCCCCCTTCTTAATTCCAATTCCTGCAGGCATTCACACATTCTAAGTGCAKCTGGTAATCACTAATTACAAGGATCCTATTAAGAAAAAAAGTCRATTCATGTGAAACTTGATTCCAGCTTGTCTGAGTTTTATGAGTGTCTGTTTAATCATAACACAACACATTGAAGTATGGAAAGCTGTATTCAATTGATTTCAGTGGGGGCTGCAGACACTAGGGACTAATGAGGATTAAACCTTATATTACAGTGCCTAAACTTGGCCTGCAGGTGTCTGACTTAAAAACAAGAAATTTGGAAAATATTGACTTGGAATGAACACTGTCTACTGCCACTGAAGCAACAACAAAAAAAAAATTGGAAAAGGAAAGATTTCCTTTTCTAAAGGAAATCAGAATTTAAAAAAAAAAAATCAAACCCAACCCAGAACACCATAGAATTAAATCAGACTGCTACTCCAGCTCCAATTCACCTCACAGGATGGAATATCTGCTCRCTGCTGGGGAGCTCTCTGGGCTGCAGAGCGAGTGCTAAAAATTTTCCATGTCCCTGCTSTGGCAGGCCAGGGAAAGGCACAGAAAGTTGCTGCTCAGGCTGACAAAGCCCTGCAGGGCCCAGGTGCACACGGGGCAGTGTAAACACACAGTTCTCCAGAAGCCCTGCTGCTCACACTGCTGGGGTGGGGGACCWTGTGCACGTCTCCTGACTCTTAGTCATATGCAGATTTTGCAGCGAAAAATCCAAATCTCCACTTGTGAACCCGAACGAAAGAGATGCGACCCAGTTGTTGTGCCTCGTGCAAGTGTTTGTTATTAGAACAATCGTAAGTTTTTACAGCTATAATATGCAATGTAATGCTGCAGGTTTTTATTAGGTCTGGCAAACTGAAGCCAAGATGGATAAAATTCAGCTACTTCAAAGAATTAAAAGAGAGGATTGTAATGGTCATGTAAAGGATTGCTCAGAATTGCATAAATTTTCTGCTTTCTGTCAAGGCTTTTAAGAGCAGGAACACCCTGAAGTAAAACAGATTTGCTCACAGATTTATAGGGTTTTGCAATAATTGGAAATGTTTGTTAAAAATCGTGTAGTTTCCTTGGTGCTCACCCACAAAATTTATCAGGGCTCCAAGCCCTAAGTATTTCCTAGATTCATCCAAACTAGGTCAAAAAAACCCATTTTTTCTTTTGGCTGGAGTATTAATTTTCATTAAAAACAAGTTTTCCACTTAGAAAAAACACAATTGGAAAGAAAAAAAAATACATTGTTCAGGAAAGACAATGAGACTCACTAATTTTAATGAAATCTTAACTGTAAAATTGATCATAACCAGAGAGGCACTCGTCACACTGATGTTTCAAAATGTTTTCCAAAATGCATTTCACAAACATCCCTATTGTAAATATTGTTAAACCCTGCACTGCTCTTGCCCCATTCTCTTTTTCTTTCTCCAAGTCTAGTTCTACTTCAAGAGTGTCTGATGTTTCTAAACCATTGCTCATTTTCCCCAGACCTGCTCAGTAATTCACTTGTATTTCATTTGCACCAAGGCAATGTTTTGTGGAAATGCAGCCCAAAATAAATGCCAGAAATGAGCCAGACTAAAAGATGCAGAAAAGGGAAAAGGAGGTTTTTGGTCTGCTTTGATTCTCCTGCCCACATCAACTCAATGATTCGATTTTACAGAGCACCACCATAAGCTGACATATTGTCCCAGTGGAGAGAACAGGAAACAGATAGTGTGTATGATAAATAAAGTACATGCTAGCAAATTACACCTAAGGAATAAATCCATTCAGAAGTTACCTTTCCAGTAATACTCATGTTTCTATTCTGAAAGATGCAGGGCCTGTCACAGTCAGGCTGAGTAGATTTACCTCATTCAAGTATTACCCATGTTGCAAAATAGCTCCAAAACAAAGTGGAACAAACACCATCATCAATGCTCTTGATAAACAAGCCAGCCAGTTACACATTATTTGTGTGTGGCTGTTGTGTAGGAGGAGTGGGAGGGAGAAATGCATTATTACAGTAAATGTGATCAAAATGGAAGAACAACTGGAGAAATTAGAGCAATTGATGGAAGAGAGACTGAGCAACACTCACTGAAACTAAACTAAAACAGGAATAAAGCCTTCAAGACTTTCTTGGTCCAAAGAAAATGAACATACAACATTTCTGCCATGTCCCCCTACCTAGATATTGCCAGTTTTGGTTCTCAGAGTAGCACTTGGAACCAATTATTACACTGCATGTCTGTCTGCCCTTTGCTRAAAATGCAGCTCCAGACACACAAAYGCTGCCYAGAAAAAGCCACAAGCACAGCAAGATCTGTCTGTTGTCTCCTCCCCCTGTTATTTCCTGATGAAGTGCTGAAACTTCAATGTAAGACAGTTTCTAACCAAAATTTTTAATCTGAGGCTTGATTTTTGCCAAAAATAAAGAGTTAGTTAGGTTCTGCAGATCTGTCTTGCCTARTTTGGTTTGRATAAAATGAAACTGGTACCTGCCCYGTGTGATGCAGGAAGATTTAATGCTGAATACTTTAAATTAATCTCAATATTAAGTAAAATTCCTCTTGGCTGGGGTAACACTAGATTTTGAGCAGCAGAGACCACAAAGAACTTAAAATTCCCAGATGCCCTCCCACAGAGCTGTGATATCCACACCCCAATAAACAGTCTGGTCTGTGAGTGCTGCTCCCCCATACTGGGTGTGTGAAAATACTCCTGCTCACACACACAAATGAGTGTCAGTGGTGAGTACAAAACCCTGCTTTCAACGACAGGACTTCATTCAAAAGCAATACAATACTTTTTTCTTGAATTGAACTGAGACAAAACCAATTTACAAGCATATTTCTCCTTGCTAATCTGCAAATTTCTCAACATTTTGGATTGAAGATATCAAGAACACCTAAAAGTGAGAAAATTATTCCCCAAAGAGTATAAATCCCTTCTTCAAGCAGAAATCAGTGGCCTAAATGTCACCAAAAAGCCACCACAGTCATGCTCAGGCTTGCTTGCCACATATTTTACATTTGGGCTTACCATGTCAGCCACTCTACACAGGCATCTGCACAAGGGAGTTTAAAGCACACAAACTCATTTGAAAGGCCATGAAACACGAACTCAGTGCCAAAAATATCACGACCACACTTCCAACATGCAAAAGAGTCACATAAGAAGTGACCAGAGGAAGTTGCAAATATCATCTCACCAAGCCATCAAAGTCACACACAGCCTACCTCAAAACACCCTCAGTACTTCTCTTGTCAAAAAAAGGAGACTCCTCATTTTTAATACATTTAGAAGAAATCTTTTCTTCATGGGCACGTGTTCAGTTCATCTAAAGCCAATTAGTGCACCCAGGTCTGGGTGCAAAGCCCAYGATGTTTTGAGCATGCTTATTGTACACCATTTCTGTGGAAGCAAATTGTTCATAGAATACAAATTATTTTTTTTAGAAGTATGAAATATGTTGATAAAACAAAGCTCTCAAGAATTCCTATCTTTTCAATTTTATTTCCTCATTATCTGTCCAATTTTAATTAGCTCAACAAATTATTTGGAGGTGGGCAAGATGGGAAAGAAGTACTTAGTTATTTGTTAAATGTCAACTCTAAATTATGCAGTAAMAAAAAAAWAAAAAAATTCTTCAATATTATTYACTGCCAAAAAAGGGATAGGAAGCTTTCCAAAAGATAAAATACAAAAGGAAAAATGCTGCAGGATAAAAGCAAGATTAACAACTATGATATTCATTGGTAGTGCCCAAATTGTTTTGKTTTTTGTTAAACCATTTTTAACGGAGATGTCACTGCAGTGAAACTGTGATGTTGTGACAGGAAAGGACAAAACTTTCTTGTACAATCCAAACCAAGAGCTAGAAGGTAGGATGTATCAAATCCATGATTTTGGAATTGTTTCTGCAGTATAAAGAGGTAGAATATGAGTTTTAAGAAGAAGACTGCTCCAAGTACAGGGGCCACGTGGCCGTGAAAAAGGGCATAGGCAAACCTTACTACAAAAAGTTGGGCACCCAAAATAAGTGACGTTTAACAGCAAGAAGATAAGAAGGGTTGATTTAGAAGAGGAATGAAGCTCTGTTCTATTTAAGATTCTTGCCCTCCAAACAAGCTTTGAAATCCCAGGACAAGAGAAAAAAAGAAAAGCAGCTCATAGAAAGACAGAAACAATCCAACCAGCCAGTTGTAAAAAAAACATTGGCAGTGCTTGGCTGACAGGAACACCATCCTAAAGATCTCAGAAAAGCTGCTTGCCACACATTCCAGCACTCACACACCTCTGGAAACATGGCACTGCTGCTGCCAGGAATCAGGATTCTGCCAGCAGCATATCATGGTGTCCTAAGGATCCAGAAGAAAGCCACGGGAAGCTGACAATTTTTGCTTCATTTGGGAAAGAGGTAGAGCAGTCTAGAACTACTACAGCTGCCCCAGGACTATGGGCATGTGCCCTCCAGCAGGAAACAACACCAGCC